TCAGAAAACAAACTTCAGATTAATTTAAGACCCTACTGACGTATCGTGCTGGAGCCCCAGGTAACCACCTGAATGAACTCTTCCTTGCTAAGACCTTAGAAGGGAAAAATACTAGATTTCTGAAGCTCATGAATGCAATCAGGTTCAGGCACAGAGAGGCTTTTTAAAAATCTATTTATATGGAATTGATTAACAATTCATATTGATGCTACATCAAAAGGTGTAACTCAAATTTTATTTGTCTTCTCTTTCTTCGTTGCTGTCACCCTTAGTCCTCATCATTTTGTGCCTGAAATATTGCAGGAACCTTATAATCTTATAAATGCTATATTGTGGTTCATTCCATCCAGGGTCTCTACATATATCTCCAGAGTTTGGTCTCAAAATGTAAATATGACCATGTCTCTCTCTTACTTAACTCCCCCTCCCCTACCTCCACGTCCCCATGCTGATTAAGAAGTACATGAAAATTCAGCCTCACCTTCTGTGGCATGCTAAGACCTTTAAACCTGGCTGAATCAAACCCTAGTTCTGTTCATTTGAATTTTTTCTCCAAAATACAGTCTAAACATTGAACATTTCATTGATTCCAGGTGTGTATCTTTCTTTGGGGTTTTCTTACCCTTAAATCTTTGTCCATTTGCTATTCCCTTTGACTGGAATTATCTTAGCATTTTATTCTATTTGGGGAACTTCTACTTTTCTTTAAATTTAACTTAGAATGTTGGTCTCTGTGAAAAAGTCTATGATTTCCGCCAAAAGAGTGCTCTTTGCATTTCTGTCCTCTCTTCCTATCAAGAGAATATCTATCAAATGACATTATTTATTAAACAGTTGCCTATAGATTATTCATGTGTGATTTATGGCACATTGTAGGTATTCAAAATATCTGTTAGAAGAATAAATTACCGTTCTTATGACTAAATAGTACCACATTATATGATTTAAGGTTCACTGGAAATGAACTGTTCCTCCATAGAGTATATATTGTTTTGGCTTTTTTTAATTTCAAAATTTATATTAGATCTTTAAAATTGTTTAATTATTTGAACCCATAATTAAAAGTATTATCCTCAACTTTGAGAGGAATAATACTTGAAACTTTATAAGATGTACAAAAGATGCTTAATTTAATTTATTGGCTAGAACCTTTTCTGAAATTGAATTTTAATGAGGAAGGAGTAGCAGAACAATATTATGATAATGTGACAAGAGGTAGAGAGACGGGAAGTGTAGAAAGGATGTTGTACATTTACTCAAGAACATTTGTTATGCCACAATCATGTGTCAGGCCCTGTGTTAGCCCGTGGGAATACAGATAAGTAAGAAATTCAGAAAGGACTCAGGAAACATAAAAGAGAGATTAGAAACATTTAATAGTACATTTCATTTATATCACAATTATATATAGCTCTGGGCCTTATCATCACCAAACATCAAATTTATCTTTTGCATCAAGTTTTCTAAAATTGTTTTAATTATATCCTTCATATGTAATTGGTTACATGATAGATATTTTGAATTTCAAAGTGGGATTTTATTTATAAATATCTTCCAATCTTGGCTACAGAGAAACCCATTTGTTTTAATTATCTGAAACTAGAATTTAATTTATCAGATATTAAAAATAATGTAATAAGCACCAACAAAATTACCACTCAAAACAGTAATCAACTCTAACCATTGCCTTTCCTAATTTCTATCCCCTAACTTGTCCCACTCAATGAAAACCATATCTTAAAAATCAAGCTTTCTTGTTTATGTAACCTTTTATTATAGTCTATGTGCTCCTTGGCATACGTATTTAAATTATTTTAATTATTTTTAGTTTAATAAAAAAGAACATTTTCTGTTGTAATGTTTTGGAATGGTTCATTTAATATTATTTTGGTAAAATTTATTCATATTGTTGTAGGTCCCTGTAGTTTATATAATACTTTTTTTTTTTGTGATATGGGATGGTTTTTGTGTCTAATTATTTGATGGGCATTTGGTTTGGTTCAAGTTTATGCAGTTGATAGCTAATTTTTATCAATTACTGGTAAGTGGTATAAATGATCAATATGGTCTTGATTTGTATTTCTGTGTTTTTAAAACAAAACTAAAAAAAATGTTGACCTTTCCTTTATGTACTTACTAGCTAAGTGTATTTTGTCTTCTGTGAAATGTCTTACCCTCTCCCCTGAGTCTATTGAAATCTTTGTGCTTTTTTATTGGTTCCTTAGAATTCTTTATATATTTTAATACATATTTGTGCTGATTTTGTGTAATGCAAGCATGTTCTTCCAGTTTGTAATTTATATTTTTTCTTTTATTTATTTTTTAAATGTCAAAATCCATTGTAAAATATTTAAAAATTTAAATCCACTATAAAGTCTTAGCAATTAAAACAATATGACACCAGCACAGAAACAATCAAGTAGATCAATGAAATAAAATGAGCATTCTAGAAACAAACACATATCTCTAACAATGTAATATATGATTAAATTGATATTTCAAATCAATGGGGAAAATAAAGCTTATTCAACAAATAAGGTGCATGGACCACTATTACTTGAAATATAACAATATGGGGCCCTATTTCACACATTACACAGAAAACATTCAGGTGAGTTAAAAATCAGGATGTAAAAATTAAGGAGTTTTAAAAGAAAATACAAAATAATTTAATTTACATTTTTCCATTATAAAGATGTCTTTAATAAGTTTTACATTTTGATAAAGTTCCACTGACTGTGTTTTTTTACAGTCCCTGTTTTTTCTTATTTAAGCAAACATTTCCTACTGTGATACCAAAAGATATTTATATATGTTCTACTAACAATTTCAAGTATTTTTGTTTTTTGGGTTTTTTTTTACAGTTAAGGTCATAATCACTCAGGAGTTGATTTTTGAATAACATTTTGTTAATTTCATCTTTTCTAATAAGAGTTGCTATTTTTTGGTATCTCCATTTACTGAGAAGTTGCTTATACTCCTGCTGTCTGTCATGCTATATTTGTCATATACCAAAGTTCAGTATTTCTAGATGTGTTACTAAGTTTCTCAATTCTTGTCTGTCTCTATGCCAAAGTAACTGTCTTAATTAAATCTTCATAAGAACTCTTAAAGTATAGCATATTCCTCTTTCCTGCTATTTCTAAGAAATATTCCAGATATCTTTAGCTTTTTATACTTTTTAGAATCATATTTTCAAATATTGTCAAAAACTGAATTGGAATTTTGATTAAAATCTTGTAGATTAATTTGGGACAGAATGTTTGCATAATACCTTCTTTCTGTCTATGAACATGGTATATTTCTCAGTTTTTCTAGGTTTTGATACAATTTTATTCTCTTGAGTCTTGCTGCATATCTTCCATTAATTTTTAAGCTTCATCTATTTCAGCTTCTCCTTTTTGTATTTATCACTGAATCTAATGTTTCCCCCTACATTTCTGTATTTACATATTTTTATAAGACATGAATATAATGATATCCAGTTTGGTAACTAATTATTTGTCCCTCAAATGAGTTAAAAGTAGGTTTCTTTTCTTTTGACATAATCTTTTTTAAATTCAGGTATTTTAGAGAATTGAATTAAAAAAAAATTAATAGCATTTTGTTTAGGCTAAAACAAAAGGCTTTAAATGGCTAGTTTCCCTCCACATTGTTATGGGGATTTTTCTGCATTGTGACAAGAATGAAGAAGAAGCAGGAACAATTCAGTAATGTTTAACGGTTTATATATTTTTAAGCCCACAGATATTATATACATGGAGAAAGAAAAATATAACAGCTTGCAATTGTATTTCACACAAAAAATTGATCTTTACATAGTTATTGGTCTCATTAAACAATATAATTTATAGATTGTCAGTATCATTTATGTAAGTGCTATAGTTTTTCTAATGAAATTATATTTATGTAAAAACATTATTTTCATTGATAGGCCCAGAAAGGTATTAAATATTTTGGGTTAACTTAAAATTAAGCATCATAAATACAATCAATATCAAATTATCTTCTTAGATAGTTTGTATGAAAGAATTTACAATTTTCTCATAATTTGATGAAAAAAGATCAGGCTTCCTGGGATTTGGATCACATTGTCCATTAAAAAAATAAACTCTGTTACACAAATTTATCAGCTATGGCCAACTCTCTAGATTTCTTCTATTGCAGATTCAGCTGAAACAGAACAAGAAAATCTGATAGATTGACTTGCAATGTATCTATACACAAAGTGGGCTTCTCTAACTTTTCTTTTTTTTTGGCTGAGTGTCATGGGCAAATCTAAATATAATGATTCAACAAATACACCTACAAAGAGATTATATTTGAAAGTAAAAGGTATTTATCTTTTTCAATCAGTATGCAAAATACAATAGAAAAAGAAGTATAACTTGAAAATATATGCATTCCTATGAGCAATCTGGTATCTTGGTTTTAAAATTGGCCTGTGGCAATATACATATGAAGTCTTTTAATTGAGTATAAATTTAGCTTCCTTTCACTTTTTAGTAAATTGTTTTTTCCCTTCTTTTCTGGAGAGATAGAGCTAATGTTATATCAGTCCAATTGAATTTTGATTATGATGGAACACAAAAAAATTAATAATTGAGATGTTAGAAAACAGTTTTCATGACCACAAATGAATTGTCAGTTCATAAAATTTTATCAAACTAAGAGAAAAATGTTCTCACTTGCAAATATCAAATTCATGAATGATGAAATCTAGATTTATATATATTTTTATTTGGTTTCATAAGTTCTAATATGAGAAACATAATCTTTAGAAATATGACATTGTGTCAATTATTTCTAAATTCTTTTACAACTAATGTATACCTCTGCATCATTTTAAGAAATCAATTTTATTTAAAAATATACAAAATGATGCAAGAAAATAAGGAAGTTCATATTATATATATTTGATTTGAAATTCCCCATGTATAAAAGTACTTAGAAGATATAATCCCAGAAAAATGTATAACATTTTGTTTTAAATTTAACAGTAAAGAAGAATCATCAGTAACATCATATGAGAATAACTTTGAGAATTCAAAGGTTACAGGTAATCTTACATAATTTTTAAACAAAATCTGTTGTTTTTGTTAAAGTCTACAATTATAACAATCTTACATAGGTACAATTATATTAACTTTTCAGATACCTATATCCCAATAATTGTTTGTTCTCATGAGGAGAAGGAAGACTTGGAAACTGGTAATCAAAATGTAAAAGATGTAAACAGGGAGCATGATGAGCATAATGAAAAAGAATTAAAGCTGATGGTAAGTGTTCTGTTTGCCACAGTATTAGAGAAGATGAATACATTTATGCTTCAAAGATGATGCAATGCTGGACTTTCAATAGCTTCAACTAATGTAATTTGCAAATGTGAAAGCACAGCCTATTCTGTCTTAGCTTGATCAACAAGGCACTTTGATTTCAGTATTCTGCTTCTGCTCTCTACAGTGATAAATTAATAACATTCATTCTTCACCTCTTTATGAACAGCTCTGAGTAATAGTTTATAGGAGTTACAGAAGAGATAGCACTATTCTGATATGCATTTCTAAACTTTGCGGCAAGTGTACACTTAATGTAAACTTATCAACATTAGATGGCAGGACTAGATGATTGTTAGCGCTCTGTCCAGCACTACAAGTATTGCATTTACTGTCATTTTTTTTAACTTTCATCTTTGTGAGAATCTCAACATTCTATATCACTAGAAAGTATTAAATTACAAAATAAGAAGACATCTTGTGCCATATTTTAAAAGCAGGGATCAACCACAGTACTGTACAATGTAGTATTAAATTTATTACAAATTTCAAACTTGGTGAACATTCAATCTATTTAGAACTTAGAAGGGGAGGTTTACATATCTTTTTTAGTATAAAGGAAGAAATAAGAGTAAATGAATCACATAATTTATTCCTTAGTGTGTATTTGGTTAGAGCTCTTGTTGTTAGAATACATAGATTCACAATTATCTGAGAATAAAATGGCATTTGCCTCTTCAAGTGCCAGGCCTGAAAAAGAAAAGAAATAGAGCTCATCTTCTTTCCACATATTCTCCCTTTTTAATAGTGATAAGGGAGCTGCATCACTAAAGTAGGCAATTTACTTTGTTCTAACTTTAAGAAACCACAAAATTGTCACCCATTGTGAGAATTCTTACCAGTAGAAAGTTAACATTGCCATTTTTCCCAAACACGGAATATAGTGAAAGGGACCTGAAAAATTACATACTTTACCAACATACCTCATTACAATGAGCAGGCTCAAATATAAAAGTTTGTTTAGAAGTTACTGAGATTGTATGTCCAATAAATGAATAGGGAGCTGTAATTTAGAAGCTAATTTGCTCCATGCTGACATTAATGAATAAAACAATGAAGTGCTATAATAGATGGAAATACAATCAAATCTGTAGAACCCACAGGCATAGGCTTACAAGACAGCTGTGCAGTTGACAAGTAACATGAGCCTTATGTGAGAAGAAGGGGAAAACGTAAGATTTGCATATAATTATTGAGATCATGCAAATGTCAGTTATGAGGAGAAAAAAAAAAGACACAGGCATCTCACTGTTAAATCCTGACAGTTGGCATCACTGAAGAGCTCAAATACATTTGAGTACCCGTTGGCAGAGGGTCATTAAAACAGAATTTGCAGAGACATTAACTCCCTCACTTTTCTTTGAGTGACGTTTTGCTATTAATAGTTTGCAGAGGCTTTGCAGAAAACATATTAATAAAAGAAACTGTAATAGGGGCACCTAGAGCAAGTGTGAATGCAGCAAGGGGCACCCAGAAAGCTACTCTGTAATTGATTAGCAGGGTGCAATCAATGTGTATATTCTAAGTGATGAGAAAGTGCAATGACAAGCAAGAATAGTTGAATAATATAATGTGTTATTTGTAAGCTGGGAAGGAGAATGATTAATTTTGACTGCTTTTCTTATTAATCTCATTCCTAATTCATAGCTTATAAGGATCCCCCCAAAACAGCTAGCTTCCAGAATTTGTACTAAATCCACAAATGAAATGAGTCAAGGAATTCTACCAAATAATTAGTAGACAAGTTAGTTAAACCTATCTAATTCATTTTGTATATTTAAAATCATTTTGGTCATTATTTATTTATTTATTTTTTATTTCTTAAGGTAAATGAATGCTTAATCAGAAGTTCTGCTTCTAAAGATGAAAATAATACATTTTCAAAAAGTACAGTCAATTTTCCAAATAAAGCTGAAGGGTTAGAGAAGAAGTATATTTATGATGAAGTACACACTGACTTGCTTAAAAGGACTTTGTCATCATGTTCATCGCCAGAAACCTCCTTAAAGAGAGATTTTTACCATGATGAAATTTTTTTCTCAGGAAATGAGTGTAGCCATCAACCTTCAGAGGAAATTACTTCAGATATGAGAAAAATCAAGCCATCGTTGAGAAATATTGGCAGTGATAAATTAGTGAAATCACATATCAGTATCAAAGAAGCATTGGATGATAACGCTAATCCAGATAAAAGAAGAGGAAGAGTACAAATATCTTGTCCCTCCTCAGATCAACTAATGGCAAACAACCTTAATAAAAAACATGAAGGAGAAGCTATAAAAATTAAAATAAAAGATTGGGAATGTTTAAGAAGAGATTTATATTCAGATTTTCATTTGGGAGAATCCATTGAAAAAGGATCTTCAAAGAAAGATTATGGGAATGGTACAAATGAGAAGGAGAAACATTTAAGTGTTAATGAAAAACAAAGCAAATGTCTTCAATCAATATTACATGACCAAGAGAAGACAAACCACTCTGAAATAAATGTGGATAAGATTGGAGCTAGTTGCAGGGAACTAACTGTTCTGATGAGTAAAGATACCACAGCTTCTGACCAGACAATCAGAACAGATTTGTCTCAGTCACCAACAGGAAATCTAGGTCAGGAAGAAGCTGTGTTAACAACCCCAGAGTGTGACATCTCAACTAGTAAAGGCACTACTTTAGGAATGATGCCTGATCAAGTTTGTTCAGGAAATAGAGGTATTTTGAGAAATGATCATCTTTTCCAAGCTGAAGAAGAAAATTCATACGGGATTAGTCCTGAAGATCAGAATAAGAACAAACAGCATAAACAACCATGGAATGTTCTGGAAGGTCAGGAAAAAGCAAGAGAGAGTAAGGCAAATACAACAGAGCATATCAAAGAACAAGCAGATTGTGAAGACATGTGGGATAAAAGAGATAATACAAAGAATTTGAACGCTACTCCTACAGAAAAATTGTTTACCTGCCAAGAAACTGTGAGCTGTGCACTGTCTTCTCTAACTGATCATGATATTACTGAGAAAGCAGAAGCAGGTACAGCTTATATAATTAAGACAACATCAGAAAGTGCTCTAGAAAGCATGTCTGTTAGAGAAAAAGCAATAAATGCTAAGCTATCTCAAGGGACTGCACAAAATGACAAGCCCATTGAGTTAAAGGAAACAGTGTTTGACATACATGAAGGGAGAAAGGATGACTCACATTATACCTTTTGTCAAGGAGATAACATAAGTATAATCTATGACAATGATTTTGAAAAGAAAACACATTTAGATATTTATAATGTACATGTAGATGAAATGGAGAGTGACGAAACCCTACCTATGTACAATCCTCCAAAGAAATGTAGCATTGGAAATATAACATCTGTAGAAGAATCCTTGCAGGTCTTTAGAGGCAATCAAAAACCAGACTCAAAACTGAATTTGTATTTGAGAATGTTACCAACAGACAAAAAAACATTTCCAAAAAGTAGAGATCATGGGCAGGTCCAAGAATTATCAAAGGGAATTGATGTAGGTGCCATTATTAATTCTGCTTTAAATTCAGACCCTAATAGGCTGTCTGAGAATGGCTCTCATATTTCCAATCACTGTGCTAAAACTCCAGTGTCATCTTATGAACAGGCAGTTGCTATAGAGAGTACAGTTACTACCATGACTCTCCAATCTATTCCTTCTAAATCAGAATATAATTTTAATCCATCAAGTGCAGTACAAGGTATTGAAAAATACCCACATCCTTGGGATATACCTGAAGAAGTTTCCAAAAGTTCAGGAATAATGACATCAGTTAGAAGAGAAAAATGTATAGGTCCGATTTTCCAACAAGGAAAATGCAATGTGAAAAAATATTTAGGGCCAATGGCTTTACTCACCGAAGATATTGAAAATGTAGAAGAGGCAAAACATAAAAACGAAGGATTGTTAAATTCTGAACAATCACTGTGTTCTCCAAGTGACAAGGAATCTGAGAGCTCTGCTTCTGCTAATCTCCATGACCCAGAATGTCAAGCTCAAAGCAGTGGATCTCTGCTTTTGAAATACATCAACTCAAACACATCTTATTTTCTTTTGTTTCTGATATTTCTTGTAACTATTTACCAGTATGACTTAATGATCAGCTTGGCATTCTACCTTTTTTTGTTGTACTGCCTATCTTGGGATGGGGGGAGACAAAAAAAGTCTGTCAGAAAAAAGTAAACTTGGGATTACTATTATTTTTCTTCAAAGATAAGCTATTTAGCCCCAAACATTTGGATTGGTGAAAAAGACAATTCATTGTTCAAAGAGCCAGTGCGGTTTTTCTCTTAAAGTATGATTTTAAAAGGAATGCATATGAAATTTGCTCCTTCAATAAGTAATTATTCTTTGTAGGACCATTATGCTTGGATCATTAAATACCTATATGAATATGAGACCTGAAGCACATCAAGTTGAAATTAGGTACAACTGTTGCTCCTTAGCAGCTTATGAGTTGCAATGCTTCATGTCTCTTCACTACTTAAAGTGCCACTTCTTGCATTCATTTCTTTCGCAGTAAAGCTTCATTTTATTTTCCCTAAGAGTATGTTTTCCTCTTTGGTTTTTAAAAATAAATAAACCATTTAGTACTGACCATGAATTTGCATTTTACCACTGTATGGTTTATCAGCACATTTTGATAGATTAAATTTTTCAACTTCAATTTAATATTTTAAGAACAATACACATATGTTAAAATATGTAAACTCAAATTGAAGAAACATGTCACTTGTTTGAATTGAATAATACTTTGTACACACACATACCTTTCACCTCCTTTACTTCCTGACTATAAAAGTCAGGACATTTATAAATCAAATCTGACAAAGACTGAAACAATTGGCAGACGATCTTTCAATTCTACAAAATTTTGTGGATGGGCTGTCTTTAAGTAGTTTTTCTCTCTTATAAAGGGAGATTGTGTAACATAGTTGAATAATTACAATTCCAACTATTACTCAGAGTGAAAATTTTAAAGTTCTACAAACATTGCTTTAACTTTTATTAATAATAATAATAATAGTTTAAAAATACTTCCAAATGAACTATTCTACTTGGTAATATTTATTGTCCTCACATAAATTTTTAATCTCTTCTCACTATAAGACAATGAATTATTCCTCAAGGTGCATTTAGATAACAAACAACTAATCATTAGTAATATTTATTATATAACTATCAGGTTGTTAGAAAAATAACTCAAATTTTAAACTAAGCAGATAAGTAGATATGGAAATCTACTGAAGAAGAAATGAATATCGATTGCAGGCATGATTTTGGATATTGTTATTATCTAGGCTAAGTCTGTGAAATAATGGAACTGGTCATTTAGTCACATAGGGATAATGCAATCATTCTTATACAAGCAATTTTACTGATCCGAAGTCAGACGTCTTCTGAATGACTACTATAATTTCAAGTTCCACTGAAATTAAATGCTGGACTTTTAACTTTTTAGTTGAACAAATACAAATATCCTTAAACAGAACTTAGCAAAAATATTTGATTCAGAAAGCACATTTTTATTAAATACAAGTGGAATACTGTAGGTCATACCTAGAGTGTTCTCTCTAAAATTGCTGTTCTGCTGACTTTGTTGACAGATACAAATTATAGTGATGTTAAGGTTAGTATTTATTCAGTTCTCAGTAGCTTGGGTTTTTCTTTCTACCTTTAAGATTTTCATTCAAAATACCATATCTCCTTAATGCAAAGAATACTACAGTACTTCATGAACACAGGTGCATAGACTGTAATAATTCCTTTATTCACAAAAGAATGTAACTTCTTTGATTTCTTTTATTTAATTCTTGGTAACATTAACTTACTAAACATTCTCATACATATTTGTTATATGACAACCAAAGGATTTAAATACTCACTGTATATTTCCCTGCCTGCAATGAAAAAATGTGACTTAATTGACTTTTCAAATATTACTTATGAAACATTTGAAATAGTCATAAACTTATAAAACCATTGCTGGGTGAAGAGGTAGATTTTTGAAACATGACTTAGTCACATCACTATGTTGAACAAGAAAAGTAGATCTCAGGAAGACCTGGCAAAGCCTGGTTAAGAAAGATTTGATTGTGAATCATTATGTCAAGGGTGATCTCTGCAAGCACAGCTGCATTCACTGTGTCTTCAAAGCCTTAGGTAAGAGCCAAAAGAGGGTGTGTCATGCAAATAAGCTAAAATTCACTGCACATTTGCTTCTTATAGTGGGTAAAAAATATGATATCTGATATTCTAACTACGACCTTTTGTCTTGCTGGGCTTCTATTAGGAACAGAATTACAAAAATTAATTGGCAAGTCTAGCAAGTGTAGATAGTAAAATCATGTTAAAAATTTACATCTGTATAAGACAAATATGTTTTTCACCATAATAAGAAATGAATCATTGAAATAACATTCATCCCTCAACATTTAATAACATTGGATTAATGCAGTTGTGTTTCCCTGCTGAGCTGCAGTATTTTGATAGTAAATTATTTCATAGAATACATATAGATATACATATACATACATATTTTGTTACAATTTTGTGAAACAGGATTATGTTTTATTTTTCATCTTAAATCAGTCTGCTGGTTAAACATGTGCACCAAATTTGGGAAATAAATAAAATACTTTATTTTTTCCAAATACCATTGATGTTATGTTCTTAATAATTTCTTTTAGTCTTATATTACGATGCTTGTCCTCTTTATTAGGTTCACTTTTTGCATGTAAGTAAATCAAAACTGAAAACAAATCAAAACAAAAACTAGCAGGAAGACTAATACAGATGTAGGCAGGAGAGCTGTATCATCTCTAGGGCCATTTCATATATTATCTTATGAGGATCTCTGACCTTTCAGTTTTCATTGAATGAATATAGAAGTTGAACTATGCAATAAGGCTCATTTTTGGCTATTAGTCCTGTCTTAGCTAGTTCTTATAGAACTGAAGAATAGAATCTACTCTAATTTTGAAGTAAGGTACAAAAGAAATATGACAAGCCATGTTCTTCCAGCATCACTACAGTTGTATACCTATATGAAGAGAACAGCCTAAAAAGCTCCTTTTATTGATTTGATTATTTTTTCTATTTTCAGAAATACTTTATAATAATTTATGGCAACATTAAGTTTCATCTTTTAAAAATAGATATTCTCGTTAATCCAATATGTTTCTATAACTTTATCAAAACCTCTTTAAAACAGCAAATAAAATTTCCACTAGATTTTCAGCCTAGCTTTAACTGATCATGTTTTATGAGAAATGTCATTATTGTAGAGTGTTAAATCCTTATTAAACAACTCTTTAAAAATTTCAGCATTTTTATTTTGTGTCATTTTTATATTTGTAAAATACACATGTATTACTTTCACTTTTCAAATATAAACCCCTATATTATATGGAAATTCCCCAAGTATTTTCCTAATATGTCCAAATTTGTTATGTTCATGATATAGTAAAGGAGGGCATAGGCAAACAAATAATGGATGACAGAGAAATTATTTTTATTTAGCTGAAATGAATACAAGACCCGATTTTCCAATGTATTTCAATGCCTAATTAAGTTACTGGTCTTGATTGGAATTACTCCATCTGCTTTGCACTTCATATCATCCTGTCTGCACCATGAATCCTTATTTCTACTGCTCTCTGCTTCAAGTACACTGTCAGTCAAACCAGTACCTTTGTCCCTAGAAAATGCTCACCTGCTTTCTCTATGACTGTTCATGCTGTGCCTCCAGAGGTCATTTTCATTTGTCTTTACTCCTTTCTCCCTATTCAGCTCTGCACATTTTCTGTATACAGCTCAAACACATGTTCTATTTTTTAATTTTATTTTTAATCATGTTTATTCTATTACAGTTGTCTCAATTTTTCCCTTTTGTCCTCCTCCACCAATCCCACCCCACTCCGCCCCCATAGCATCAATTCCCACTCTATTGTCCATGTCCATGGATCACTCATACATGTTCTTTGTTTAGTTCCTTCATCTTCTTTCCACCATTGTCCTCCTTCCCCATCCCTTCTGGTCGCTTTCAGTCTGCTCCATGTTTCCTTGCCTGTAGTTTATTTTGCTTGTTAGTTTATTTTGTTGAATAGATTCCACTTATAGGTGAGATCATATGGTATTTGTCTTTCACCGACTGGCTTATTTCATTTAGCATAACATTCTCCAGTTCCATCCATGATGTTGCAAAAGGTAAGAGTTCTTTCTTTTTCTTTTTGAATGCAGATTTTATTTATTTATTTAAATGTGAAAATCCATTATAAAATATTTAAAAATTAAATACATTATAAAATCTCAGCAATAATGACACCTGCACAGAAATAATCAGGTAGATTAATGAAACAAAATGAACATTCTAAACACAAATGTATATATATGTCTAAAAATGTAATATATGATTAAATTGATATTTCAAATCAATGGGGGAAAAAGAGCTTATTCAACGTAAAGGGTGCATGGACCACTATTACTTGAAAAAAAATATAGAACCTTATTTCACACATTATACAAAAAATATTGAGGTGGGTTAAAAATCAATATGTAAAATATAAGGAGTTTCAGGAGAAAATACAAAATAATATTTTTCTTAATGTGAAGTAATGGTTTCAAACCAAGAGGCTATAAAGTAAAATATTGAGAATATGACTATATTAAACATTTAAGACTATACAGTAATATTAATGTAAAAAGAAGTTAAAGGACAAATAATAGAAAAGTATTTGCAACACATCTATAAATGGGTTAATAGTTTTTTTTTTCTCTCTTAGGGAAAAAATTCTACAAACATTTAATCAAAAACATGGATAGAGAATACCAAGAAGTCATTTAGAGCTTTAAAAAAAAATAGAAATAGGCAAGAAATATACAAAAACAAGTTTAGTTTTAACAAATAATAAAGTAACAACTAAAAGAACACATCATTGTCACAGTCACATTAATAACTATTAAAAATATTGGTAATATGAAGTATTGGTGACTGTGACTAGAACTGGGTATTCCTAGATGTTTTTTCTTCATCGTCTTAAAGCAGTCCCTTTAGCATATTTTGCAATGCTGGCTTGGAGGAGGTGTATTCTTTTAGCCTTCTTTTGTCTGAAAAGCTTCTTATTTCACCTTCCATTTCAATTGAGAGCCTTGCTGGGTAGAGCAGTCTTGGTTGCAGACCTTGGCTTTTCATTACTTGGAATATTTCTTGGCATTCCCTTGTGGCTTGTAGTGTTTCTGTGGAGAAGTCAGCTGCTAGCCATATTGGGGCTCCCTTATATGTTACTACCTGTTTCTCCCTTGCTTCCTTTAGGGATCCTCTGTTTGTCTTTGATATTTGCCATTTTAATGATGATGTATCTTGGAATGGGCCTCATTGGGTTCGTCTTGAATGGGGTCCTCTGTGCTTCCTGGACTTGTGTGACTTTTTCTCTCCTCCAATTAGGGAAGTTTTCCATCATGACTTTTTCAAACAGGTTTTCTATCCCTTGCTCCTCTTTTCCTTCTGGTATCCCTATTTACGAATATTATTACATTTCAGGTTGTCCTGCATTTCCCTGGATGCCTCTTCATTCTTTCTGAGTCTTTTTTCATTTTCTTGCTCCTTCTGGGAGCATTTTTCTACTTTGTTCTCCAATTTGCTGATTCAGTCCTCTGCTTCATCTAGCCTGCTTTTGATTCCTTCTCCTGTGTTTTTCAATTCAGAAATTGTATTCTTCATTTCCTCTTGTCTCTTTTTAATAGTTTCTGTGTCTTTTTTCAGGCTGATATAGTTTGCAGTAACTGTCTCATAGTTTTTCTGTAATTTTTGGTAATTCTCTGTGAGCTCACTGAGCTTCCTTAGAACCATTGTTTTGAATTCAATATCTGATAATTTACTTGCCTCTATTTCATTTAGTTTTCTTTCTGAGTATTCGTCCTTTCCCTTTGACTGGGGGGTGTTTCTTTGTCTTCCTTCTATTTGTGAGACTCTTCTTTTTTGCTTCTGCTTCTTAAATTGATCTGTCTTGATTTCCTGACTTTGTGGTGTGAACATCTATGTAGAAGACTGCTATTTTTTTTCCTTTCTGGATGTGCCTCTGATGATGTCAGATGTTGACCCTTTTTGACCTTAAGCAGTCTGTTCAAGACTTCCCAGTATCTAATGTCTGTGGCTATCTCCTTCAGCTGTTAATCTAGTCACTCTGTACTCAGCAGGCCAGCTCAGGGTGGGGCAGAGTCCCTTCTAGGGGTAGGGTTACTGGGTCCTCTCAAGCTCTGTCACTCAGGGGAGTGGTCTTACTGAACTAGATGACTGTTGCCTTATGGGGGAGGAGTCAGCACCAGGATCCCACCAGCTACTCTGTCTGTTCTCTCCCCAAAGCCCCCATCTCTAGTCTCTCCTCAAGTGTTTTTAGACCCCTCTGTTCCCCCTTTAGTCAGAGATCTACTATCTGTGGCTGCCACTCTGTACTTAGTCATCACGTTTTAGCACTATGGAGCCTAGGCAGAGCCTCCTGGGGAGCCAGTCTTTGGGTCCTTTCACAGTGTTGCTGCTCAGGGGAGTGGTCTGCCTGAGCAAGATGGCTGCTGCCTTCTCTGAGATGAGACAGCACTGAGAACCCTTTGGCTACTCTCTGTTTTCTCCTCAAAGCCTCCTTACCCAATCTCTCCTCAGGTGTCTCCAGCGTACTATTCCTCCTTTTTTGCCGAAGCCCAGGGTAAATGACTGCAAACAAAAATTTATGTGTTGGCCCTTTAAACGTCTCTTTGTGTCTCCAGCTGCCTGTCTCTGACTGAGAACAACCTTGCTGCTTTTTGCAGCTGGCTATCTGTGTACTTTTGGGCTCTGGTGCTGTAGGCTGGAGATCCCTGCTTATGGTTTAGACCCCACTCATCTCAGGGGATCCAAATGGCTGTTTCAATATCCTCTGGTGCTGCTGCCTGTGAGTGTCCTGCCTTTTTGAGTCTACCTCACTCCTTACCAGTTAGATTGTATTAAAGTGGATTCTTCTGTCCGTCCAAGGTTAAAAGGTCCATCTCTTGCTATTGTTCAGTTGTTCATTCCAGGTGATTTCTTCACAATTTAGTTGTAATTCTGGCTTGGTCCTTGGAGGAGGTCTGTGTGACTTCCACTCACTCCTCTGCCATCTTGGTTCTCCAGCCGGCATCCTTTTGAAGCTTCCTACTATTTCAGATGGTGGATCACTGTGCTTCCACATCTCTTAGAACACCTTTTTTTTTTTTTTTTTTTCATTCACTCAGCATTTGACTAAATATCCTAACTGGACTACCTGCTTGTTTAAGGAAGAGACAAAATTTTATTCTTCCTTCCTATACCTCAAAAGGCCTAGTTTATTTTGTAGGAATCCTCAGTCAATACTTGTGGCTAGAATTGAATTGCAGTGCTGTCTCCTTTTTATCCTGTTTCTGAAACATGGACAGGATGTTCAGAGGTCTGATTTTTAAATGAACAGACTTAATCAAAAAAAGCTAGGACGTTTAATAAGCTACCGAAGACAAGAAGGACTAAAAGAGAATGTGGAGATAGAACATAGTAGTATGGTGGATTTTGGTTGTAGAAAGACAGACAATCATTTCTTTCCATTCCTCTTAATAATTAAGTTGATTTCTATATTAATTAGTTCTTCATAGCATAGAATATTTTCTGTTCAT